AAATCATCACCTGTAAAGTGCCCGGCACTCCGCGGTTCAGAGCCTGGGCTCTGGAATCAGACAGAACTGAGTTCTAACGCTATCTTTTCCACTTGGTAACTAGTGATGCCTTGAGCAAGTTACCTAACCTCCCTAAACCTCAGCTGCAAAATGCTAAGATTAAGTAATTTAAGACACGTAAAGCAGTTAGAACAGCACCTGGCTCCTGGCAGGGAATCAAGAACTACTAATCATCGTCATCCACCCAAGACGCAGGCTAACCAAGACCATTTACGCAATTCTTTCTACAATCAATTACTGAGTGCATATTATGAGCCAGGAGCTGTTCCAGGTACGGGGGACTCAACAATTTTAAAAATCCCTCCCTCGTGTAGCTCATCTTAATGCCTTAATTAACAACTATTTAGTGAATACGTAATATGTGCCAGTACACTAGACGATAAATTCCACGAGACTCCCATTTTACAGATGACTTGACTAGGAAAGACGAATAGGCTCCAAGGTTGCGCCACCACCCTGGAGGTATTCTCCCAGGAATTGGGTAGGAGGGGGCGTGGGCCAACTCCTGGGCCGGGAGGCTCCCTCCACCCGCGGCAGGGGCGGCGTAAAGGGAAATAAACGATCACCTCGTCGCCGGCGCAGTTCCACCCCGGACCTGGTCATTCCCGCCCTAGCCCCAGCCGAGCCTCGGCGCGGCCGCCACACCCCCAGGCTCCCCTCTCCACGCGGGTCGCGGCAGTGCCCAAAGTCTCGCTGACCCCACCAGCGGGCGAAGCGGAGGGGGAAACCGAGGCCCGGCAGAGCAGGGCCGGGCCGGGGTTGGCCCGCGTTTCCCCCACGCCCAACCGAGCTGGCGACGCGTGGCAAGCGGCCTCAGGACCCTGAGGCCTGGGTCGGGCCGCAGCCCGGCGGGATGACTGTGCGCTTCGGCCACCGCGGGCTTGATGCGCCAGACACCCGCCTCCCGCAGCCCCTGGCCGGCCCGACGCAGCCGGCTCCGCGCCGCTACCTGGAGGTCCCAGCCGGCCGACTCGAGGAAGAAGCGGGCCCGGTCTTCCTCGGCCCCAGTCACCGCCACGAACTCCCTCAGCGCGTCCTGTCGCTCCGCCGCCATCTTCGCTCTGTGCGCCGCCCGAACCGCTCCGGCTGCCGCCGCAGAGCCTCAGCCCCGCAGCCGCGTTCCGCCCGCCGGTCGACTCGGCCCAGCCGAGCGGCGCCCGCCCGCAGGCCCCGCCCCATGCGGTGCCTCACGCAAAGCCCTCCGTGCGGAAAACTCTCCCTGCTCCGCGCCCTCTGGCGGCCGCGGCGCGGACCCGCAGCCTAAGGGCGGGGGTGGAAGCCGGGCGGAGGAGAGGCGGGGCGGGTCTTCCCCGCACCTGTGGGATGAAGAATCTCTGAAGGAGTCAGATCCACAGTTCTTCATCGACTCGTTCCTTCATTTCATTCATTTATTTATTCGTTCATTCACTTCCTTGTTCACATATTTACTAAATGCGATCAAAGGGCCTGGTGCTCTTCCAGGGATGGGGACAGGCAAAGAGCAAAACAAAGTCCCTGCCCTCACATTCTAGGGGAAAAAAATAGACCTGGAACAACAGGTCCCTCCTCTGCTCCCAACACGAACGTGCCTCCCGGTCTCACACCGCGTAGCAGACAAAATCTCCTGGCCTGCAAGACCGGTGTGAAATACGCCAGCCCGTCCATCTCATCTCCCAGGCTTCCCACTAAGTTCCTCTGCCCCAGGCACACTCCCTTCTTGCTGCCAGGTGCGCATTTGCTTCAGAGCCTTGCCAGCGGCGGCGATTCCCTTTTCCTTTGCTGGTGGGCAAGGTGTTCCCTCACTTTCTTCAGGCTCCTGTTCCAAGGGCACCTTCTGAGACCCAATCCCGTCTTTTAGGTCCTCAGCTTCTTTGCCCTCTTGTCTCTTGCCATCCTGCCTGGGATTCTCTTCTCTTCCTCTTTCCTTTGTCAGCTTCTGCACACCCCTTCCCCTCAGTTTAGGTATTCCCTCTTCAGGGAGGCCTTCCTACATCCCTGGGCTCTCTGTCAGACATCCTTGTGCATGCCCTGTGATGCCTTCTTAAGTGTTAGCCTTCCCCAAGGGCCACCATCCCTGTGACAGAAGAGGCTGTGGCTGTCTCTGGCACAATATGGCTTATCAGCACTCACTCTGGACTCAGCCTGGGGTTGAAGCCCAGACATTACTGCTTGTAGGATCGTGAGTGGATTATCTCTAGCGTCAGTGTCCTGATGGGTAAATGGGGCTCCTTACAGTACTTCAGAGGGATGTGTGAGGATCCAGCGTGAACTGCTCTGCTTGACACTTACTAAGCCCTCTGCAAATGTTAGGGGTCATTTTATCTCCTGGGACCTGCAGTCACTGGCATTAAATAGCCACTTGATGATCCTTTGCTGAATTAATGAAGGAATGAATGAATGAAACCAAGTATCTGAGCATCCAGATGAGAAATTCAAGGTCAGAATCTGAGGACAAGGATGCAGGGCAGGTACCTGGACCCTTGATGAGGGGTGAGCTGACTCTGGGATGTGACCCAATTTCAATACATAAAACTTTTCCTTTTCCATAAAACAGATGGTGGGGAGAAATGGCCCGAGCCCTCCAACCCATAAATGTGCCTTTCCCAAGTGAGGTGGCTGCAAAGACATTGCCCTCAGTATTCATCATGGCTGCAGGTTGGGCTCTCGGGCACAAGCTGGGTGGCGAGGGCAGTCCTCAAAGGCGTTGGAACACAACTTGGCAAACCTAGTGGAGTTGAAGAATCGTGAAACCTAGATCCCCTGCCAGATCCACTTGTGGGTGTTCACCCCATGTAAATGTTGGCCTGCGCACACCAGGAGACATGATGACATTGTTTCTGGGGGCGATACTGAGAGGATAGAACAACTCAGTTCTCCAACCTCAAGAGAATCACAAATGTGATGTATTGCTACAATGGAATACCATAGAGCCATGAAGATGCATGACTTAGACCTACAGGTAACCAACCTGGATGAATCTCGAATGTGGAGCCAAAAAAGCAAGGTTGGGAATGGCGTGTGGAGTAAAGTGCCATTATATAGTACCATCTAGATAGTTTAGAAACATGTAACACCATGCTTGGCTAGGCCTGGCACCCCTTACTGCCCCACACCCAGCCCAGGGACCCAGATGCACTCTGAGCTGTGTGTGTGTCCTACGGGCGGTAGTGGGGTATACTTGACCAGGCCTGGCACCCACTCTTGCCCCACTCCAGCACAGAACCCTCAAGGCCGTCATCCTCGGGGCGGCGGGATGCAGGAAACCTCTGTCTGTCCTTCCTCTTCCTCCAGCTCCAGGCCTTCTCCGCAGGAGCAAGTGGGAGGCCTTGGAAGCCCAAGGAGAACAATGTGGACAGACCCATCTCTCTCATTAGGAGCTGTCACGGAGGCCAAGCCTGGGCAGGCTTGATAGGGGTTTTCTGGGGAAGACAGAGGGGAGGGCAAGAACTATCAGCGGGGAAGGAAGGAGAGAAAGAAGAGGAGCAGGAAAGGAGAAAACAGAATAGGTGGGAAGAAACCGATGCTTTGATTCAGGGAGACCTGGGGGACAACCACCGACCTCCAGAGGTCTAGATCCTGAGGCTCAAGCAGGATGAGCCTCTGGCGGGAGCTGTGGACCCGGGTCATCTTGCCTGTGTGGGGCTCCAGGCCTCAAAGCAGGGGGCGGGGGCGCTGAGCAGCTCGGACTCCAGTTCCTTCCCCACTCTTTCAATCTGTCAACAGCAGGTTTTCCTGAGCGCCCACCAAGGGCCCTGAGTTACCCACGGTTTGTTTTATTTGCCAGCACCCTCTCCACCCCCTCTTGGGACTGCTCCCGCCCACACATCCGCTGGGCCTGGCACAATTAATGCCTTACATGCACCAATACGTTTCCGCCTCAAAACGACCTAAGAAGGGAGATGCTGATGTCATTACCAGTTTATGGATAAGGAAACCAAGACACTCTGAGAGAACTCACCCAAGAGATGAACAGAAGAACTGGAATTTCAATCTGGGTAGATTCCCAAGACTGTGAATTTTACCTCTACCCTCTACACCCCCTCAGATGTTACAGGGGTCTAACATGTGCCAAGCACCTGCTTGGTGCTCATGATTCTTGTGCCATGTCAAACACACTCCTGCCTCAGGGTCTTTGCCCTTGCTCTTCCTTACCCTATTACGCTTTCCCCTCAGATATCTATAAGGCTCTCAACCCACTCCCTTCAGGTCTTTGCTCAATTGTCACTTTACCTGTAAGGACCCTTCCAACCACCCTAAATAAAATGTATCTCCTCTCCCTTGCTCTGGTACCCCCCTCCTCCGCTTCTGCCTTATTATTCCTTTAGCACTCACCAACATGTGACATGTTGCTTACCTACATTTACTTGCTCATTGTCTGTCTTCCCCCAATAGTAGGTATGCCCTGAGAGAACAGACTTTTCTCTTTAATTCTCAGCACACTGATGGGTGTCTGGCTCATTGTCGGCCTTCAACCACTCTTTGTAACTGAGTGGCAGGGGCTACAATGGTGAAAAGTGAGGCCCCTGCCCTCAGTAAGCTCAAATTCTAGAGGAGACAACTGGCTGTCCTGAAGGAAATACACACATGTTTATTTCAGGCAGCGGTGAGTGCCGTGAAGGACACATCCACGGCGTGAGGACAACGAGAGGGATGGAGATGTCCTCGTGGACAGAGCCATCTGGGAGCCCTCGCGAAGGAAAGAGTTGAGCAGGGAGACTTGGATGAGTTAGGGAATGTGGCGTGGCCAACGCCCAGGTGGGTGTCAGGGCGGAGTCAGTTTAGGGGGTGATGGTGGGAGATGCGATTGGGGAGGGGAGTGGTTTGCAGGGACCGGATGGTGCAGGGCCCAGCAAGTCCCAGAGGTTTCTGGAGCAGAGTAGTTCTTCCAGAGGCTCGGTTCCATGCTTCCTTCCCTGCTGTTTATTTTCTGGGGCTGCTGTGACAAATGACCACAAACCTGGTGCTTCAGAACAAAGAAATTTATTGTCTCATCGTTCTGAAGGCCAGAAGTCTGAAAGCAGCATCACCGGGCAGGAGTCAAGGTGTTCAGTGGGCCCTGCTCCCTCTGGAGGCTCTGGGAGAGAAGCTGTTCTGGCTTCTTTTAGCTTCTGGGTGCTCCCGGCATCCTTTAACTTGTGACCACATCACTCCAATCTCCGCCTCTGTGGTCACATTGCTGTCTTCTCCTCCGTGTCAAATCTCCCTCCGTCTCTCCCTCATCAGGACACTCATGAAAGCATTTAGGGCCCACCTGGATAATCTGGGATAAACTCCTGTCTCAAGATCTTTAACTCCAGCTGCAAATTCCCTTTTTGGCCATGTGAGGTCGTAGTCACAGGTTCCAGAGATTAAGACGTGGATCATCTGGCAGGCGGCTATTATTCTGATGTCTGGTCACTCAATGATTTATGCAATTCTCAGGCTACACTAGCATCCCCTTTGGCTTAGGTTTTGCAAGCTGTTTTTCTGTTGTCATAATGAAAAACAGCCAGGCTAATACACTTCCCCACAGAATGGGTGCTAGTAAGTGTTCACGTGGAAAGCAAAAAGGGAGCTCACAGGCACTGAGTGTACCTGGAGCACACAGCATATAGGAAGCCCTCAATAAATGAATCCAGTTAATTCTTAGACAACGCAGAGAAGTCCATGTTATGATCTGCATCCACATTATTATCCATGAGGGTCCAAGAGGTGAAGCGACTGATTAGTCACTAAAGGCATACGGGGAGCGAGTGGGGGCTTTGGGATTGCAAGCCAGGCGTGTCACACTTTCCCCTACATTGGGCTTCTCAGCCCCAGCACCACTGATGCTTTGGACCAGAAAACTCTTTGTTGTGGGGGCTGTCCCTGTGCATTTTAGGATGTTTAGTGACATCCCCCTGACCTCTACTCACTAGACGGTGATAGCCAGTTGTGACAACCCCCAAGTTGTGACAACCAAAAGTGTCTCTAGACATTGCCAAATGTACACTGGGGGAAAAAAAACCTCCTCTTCTTGAGAACTACTGCTCTCTATTATACTCCCTAGTGGAGGTGGTGGTACAAAAAGGTGCTGTTTCAGCTGGGAATTGAACTCAGAGCAAGGAAGAAGCTTCCCCTTGCCACCGAGGTAGATGTTACTGGTTATCTACTGACATTCGCCTCCTGGTTCTTTTAGTGAAACATTGCAGCTGGGCACACTGCTGCCAGAATAAAGACTACATTTTCCAGCCTTCCTTACAGCTGGGTGTGACGATGTGACCATATTCCAGCCAATTAGAGGTGATGTGGGCAAGTTCCCAGCTGTGCCCTTGAAGGGGCGGGTTATACTCCCCTTCACTTTTGCCTTCTTCCCTAGTCTTAACGGCCTGGGGTGTGGACGCGGTAGCAACAAGATGAAGGAATCCCCTGTTGCCTGGCCTGCTTATGCTCTGTTATTACTAGAGAAATCGATTTTCTTCTGGCTTAAGCCACTGTGATTTAAGAGTTTTGTTAGGGGCGCCTGGGTGGCTCAGTCGTTAAGCGTCTGCCTTCGGCTCAGGTCATGATCCCAGGGTCCTGGGATGGAGCCCCGCATCAGGCTCTCTGCTCCGCGGGAAGACTGCTTCTCCCTCTTGGACTCCCCCTGCTTGTGTTCCCTCTCTTGCTGTGTCTCTCTTTGTCAAATAAATAAAATCTTTAAAAAAAAAAAAAAAGAGGGAGAGAGAGTTTTGTTAAAGTTGCCAAACCTGCATTTACCTATTACAGCCACCCAAGCCAGCCATGGTGGGAAGGAAATAAGGCGGGAAACGGGGAGAGAAGAATATAAATGGAGGGGCCTGGGCAGTCTGGCTCTGCAAGCTCAGAGGTGCTTAGGAAAACCTTCCGGAAAGGACTCTGAGTTGGATTTTGAAGGATGAGAAAATGTGAAGAGTGGAGGAAGGGAGCAGCCACTCCAGACGGGGCTGTAGCAGGAACAAGGGCCCCAAGAAGAGAGCCGGGCCAAGCCATGAAGGACCAGGAAGGCTTGCACAGGCTGTGAAGGGAGAGCACGCATGGCACACCAGAAGGCAGCCCAGTCAGTGCCCGGTGGGGAACTTCACCGGGTGAGTGGAAACCAGATATGGGGATCCCGGAGTTTGGCACGAGGCCTGGGGAACATCTGGAGGTTGAGACCAGAGGCAGAGAAGTGGCTGAGGAGCCCTGGTCTCTCTCCGACTCAGAGGACCCACTCTGGGGCTCACCCCTCACCCATGCCCCATGAGCCATGCTCCGTGCCCCCATGCTAAGGGGGGCCCAGTCCTGCTGGGCCTGGAGTCTTGATGTCTTCTTGCTGACGCCTCCTCCAGTATGCAGCCAGGGCCAGCAGGAGTGCAGCCAAGGTCATTGTCTTCAGCCCCAGGACCACAAGTGTGAACACAGACAGGAGGTCTGGAGGACACAGGGGAGAGCTCAGGAAGGACCCTGGGTGATCCCCCAATAGTCCCAGACCTCAGTGTCCCCACAAGGAAGGTGGCCCAGTGGCTGTAAACCTCTGGAGCCACATTCTTTCTATGCCGAGAGAGGAGATCTAAGACCTCCCCTCCCTCTGTCCTGGGCCTGAAGAGGCTTTGCCCAATATCCTGCCGATACGTTTTGTCATCTTGGCAGCATTCCTGACTGCTGACAGTGATAGAAAACTGTGTTCATTTACTGGCTGTTCAGCTCCTCTGCCCCAGACCTTGAGCTAAGCACTTCCTAATTGCCTAATATAGTCCTTAAACTTACCTTGCAAGGTAGGATAATAATGCGATTGGTACAGATGAGGAGGCAGACTCCGAGAGGGGGCATGATTTGCTCAGGGACATGTGTGTCAGAGAAGTGATGGGACCGGGTGGTCTGGCTCCCAAGAATGGCAGGAACAGGGCTGAGCAACAGGGAGCATCTGGGGCCGCTACCCCAAGTCTCACCCCCAACCCCACCCCAGTCCCAAGCACCCCTGAGTGTTAAGAGGTGATGTGACATGCACGGTTCTGGGCACTTGGCATGCGTAAATCTCATCGGATCTACATCCAACCTCATGAGGTAGGCTCTCTGATTCTTATCTCTTTTCCCCTCTAGTTCACAGAGCAGGACAACAGCCATATAAGTAAGGAGCAAGGCTACCTGCCCGCAATCACACAGCTAGAAAGGGGCTCAATCCAGGATGCCTGGCTACAAAGCCATGTTCTCCAGCGCCGTGATGTATAGCTTCATGGTGTGTCCTTGCACTGGCTCACAGGGAGCTCACTACCTCTCAAGCAAGACTGCCCACTGACCAGTCAGCACCGGCTGTTAGAGAGTCCTTTCTCTGATTGAGCTTCAACATGGTTCTCTGGCTTCAACATGGTTCTGCAGTTGAGATGAAGTCCTGGGGACTTTCTTGGTGGCAGATGGCCCTAGAAGTCAGAAACTGCTCCCTTCCCATGGCCAAGCCATGTTTGGCCGCCCTTGCCTGTGGGGACCAGTTACCTTCACAGGAGGTAGGTACACCCACCTGATGGAAATAACCTGTCTACATGTTCACTGGTGAATTCTGTCTCTTGGGGAGAAGTGCAGTTTGCTGCAAGGAAGAGAGACAGCCTCACATTCCCCTTTTCTATCTGTCCTGCCATTTTCCCGAGCCCCTGTGCTAGCACCTGGGGTCATCGAGATGGGTCTGCCTGCGATGGGGGCCAGAAGTCAAACCCTGCAACTGTGAGGGACTAGCTAGACCTGTGGGAGCATCTCTGGGGTAGGGACAATGTCTGATTCACTGCAGTATCTACAGCACCTAGTATAATGCAAGGCAGTAAACAGGCACTCAACAGATGCTGTTAAATCACTGATGGTCTATACAAAGTTTTGTGGAGCCCAGAATGGGGAGAAATTAACTCTGCCTGGGAGAAACAGAAGGTTTCACAGAGGAGGAGCTATTTATGCTGGGCTTGAAGGATGAGTAGGAGCTCTCCAGAGAGAAGGAGAAAGAAAAGAATTCCAGGCAGAGGGAACGGTCTGTGGAAAGGCTGGAGGCTGAGAACAGCTGGTTTATTTGGGACATGATGGAAAGTTCCTTGTAGACCACCTCCCTCTCGCCCCCAATGCCTCCTAGACCACCTGTCTCACCTTTTACTCTCAGCTTGGTGCCCGGTCCAGACAGGTATTGTCTGTTGAGTTTCCTCTGAAACTTGACACAGTAGTAGGTGCCTGCCCGCTCCCCAGAGGCACCTTGCAGAAGAATGCTAAAATCCCTGCTGGAGGCCCGGACTGCTGTCACGTTGGGGTGGGAGATGCCTTCAAAGTTGTGAATGGCCTCCCGGCTCAGACCAGCCCTGCAAAACCACCGGATGGGTCCTGAGGGACCATCTCCAAGCACTGTGCAGTTCAGGAATACAGTGTCTCCGGTGGTTGCCAATACCAACTCCTGGGGCTGGATGATCCAGAGGTCTGGCTCTGGGTCCCCAGCTCCTGAAGCCAAAGAGAGGGGCCTTGGTGTATTCCGTTTCTTCCTCCGCTGTCTGCTCATGACCTCCCTCATATCTGCCCTCCCTCCCCTCTTCCCTAATTTCTTTACTCAGCGACTCCCTCTGCATGCCCAGTATTCACTCAGTAAAGAAGTTCTCGGTACCTACTATGTGCTGATGTTAAGATGGGGAAAAATGAAGCTCAGCAAGACACACGGATGTCCTTGGGCTGGGAGGAAGTTCTCAGTCTGGTGGTGGAGATGGCCCAGAAAATCCCCCTGAGGTTGGAAACCCAGAGGACTGTAGGACCAAGAGAAGGTCCCTGTCACAGCTTGGAAGGAGTCCCAGAAGCCTTTCTGACATGCTTGCGTCAAGTTAAAATGAGCCCCTCCTCCTGCCCCCAGCCACCTGCCACAGATATTCTGCCTGTCAACAGTCTACAGGGTGGTTCCACAAACGTCCATTCTCCTATTTCATCACCCGAATGACCCTCAAAGTAGGAATCATGTCACTTATTCTACAAGTTAAGCACTTGAACTATATAGAGCTGAAGTGACAGATGTAAGAACACACTCTTACTGATTGGCAGACACAGGATTTCAGTACCCAGGTCACTGTGGCTAGACTTAACAGATAGCATGACTGATGACGTGGGGAGTGCGGTAGATGAAATTATCAGCCCTAGTTCTTGATTCTCCTGGTAGTATGGTACATCCCTACTCTTGCCATGGCCTCTACGTGGGAGGGTACACAACACGGTCTCTCGACCTTGAGCTTAGCCACATGACTTGCTTTAGCCAATGGGCTGTTAGCAGACATTATGTGATTAGAAGCTAGAAATGTGCTTGGGGGCATTGGGACGTGTCCTCTTTGCTTCTGCCATCTCCACCACACAGATGTACTGTGGGTAGCTGCGATAAGACATGGCCCTGGAACGAGGCACACGGGGCAGAACCACTCCAGCTGCCTGTATGTGTGTGAGTGAGACACACTTATTTTGTGTGCCACTGGGATTTGTGTGCAGAGCATGGCTGTGGGTAGAGGCGGCTGACGCAGGGACGCAGCTCAGAGCCGAGTGCTTAGACCTGCAGAGCCTGATACTTACCATTCACAAGTATGGAGGTGCCCTCCTCTAAGGTCTTTTCTGATTTCTCACTCAAGTCACTAAACCCCACACAGTGGCAGCTTCCAGCATGCTTGCTGGTGACATTGTGGATATAGATGGAGTAGTCACAAATACGTGGCTCCAGTGTCCGCTGGGCGTCACCCCAGGAAAGAAGCCGTGTTTGAAGTTATAAATCTCCTGGAGCTGATGGCTCACCTTGACCCATTTAATCATGTCACCAGTGCAGGAGCTGTCCACTGAACACCACAATGGGAGTGTGTTACCTTCTGCCACCAGCATGGGGCCCTCGGGCTGCAGCACCTGCCGCTCAGTCCCATTGCTCAGCTCAGAGGCTCCTACAACAGAGGAAGAGAAGCTTTGTGCTGAGCAGGAAGGCCCTGGAGCCCTCAGAGCTGACCTTGACCCAATCTAGTCATTAGCCGGCCAAGAACAATTGCTCAGGATGCTGGAGGGATGTTGTTGGCGGAGGAAGTGCAAAAGATGGGGAAGTTGGCTCGAGAGGCTGGACAGAGCTATTGGATGGAGAATTTACAAATTATAGATGGCGCTTAAGTGCCCACCATGTCCCAAGCCCTGCATGTATTACCATTTATTCTTCCCAACCCTCCTGTGACATGGGTGGCCTTATTCCTATCCTCACAGAAGACACCGAGAGCCTGGACGATTAGGTAAGTTTCCCAAGATCACTATTTATGGGCTGAATTGTGTCTCCCTGGCCAAATTCATATGTTGGAGTCTTAACCCCCAGTACCTCTGAATGTGGCTGCAGTTGGAGACGGGGTCTTTAAAGAAGCAATTCAGTTAAAATGAGAGCATGAGGGTGGACCCTAATCCAATATGACTGGCATCCTTATAAGAAAAGAAGATGAGGACGCAGACTCACATAGAGAGAGGCCCACGTGGAGGCAGGGGGAGAAGGCGGCCATCTTCAAGCCAAGGAGAGAAGCCTCAGAAGAAACCAACACTGCTGATACCTTCACCTAAACTTCTAGCCTCCAGAAGTAAGAGAAAATACATTTCTGCTGTTTAAACCACCAGTCTGTGGCACTTTGTTATGGCCACCTAAACTAATACCTCATCCAATAAGAATGTGACAGTCTGTTTCTGGAGCCCCTGCTCTTAGCCCTCAAATGTATCACACAAAATGTGTGTGCCGTGGTGTTCGGTGTAAACATTCTCCCTGTTTCCTGTGAATTCTTTTTAAAATTTTTAATTTTTTTTTTATTTTTAAGTAATCTGTATGCCCAACATGAGGGTTTGCACTCACAACCCTGAGATCAAGAGTCACATTCTCTACCAACTGAGCCATCCAGGGCCCCCCCTGTGAATTCTTTTTTTTTTTTTTTTTTAAAAAAAACTACCTTATTGAGGCATTATTTACATACAGTAAATACCAGAAATTTTATGTACTGTATACAATTGTGTAACTTTAAAAACATTTTTTTTAATTTGAAGTAGAGTTGACATGTAATATTATATTATTTTCAGGTGTCTTGTGTGAATTCTTTGCCAAACTGCAATGCTTATTGGTGTGTTGGGAAGTGGGTCTATTTTGGGGGTTGAACTGCTGAGTTTGGCCTCAAAATGGGCACGGAGAAAGAGGGCCGAGGCCTCCCATGCAAGTTCTTTCACACCTGGGTTATGAACATCATCTCAGGTGCTCCCCTCCAGAACTCCCCGAGGTAGGTATTATTGTTACCTCCATTTTTCAGATGAGAAAACTGAAAAGGGAAGGAACATGAAGGGACCATATATTCAGTCAGCACCATGACCAGGATTTGGACTCAGGTCAGATGACTTAAGGTTCTGCTCAACATAGGTCATCAGCTTTGTGCCCCAAATTTCCCCTGGTGTATGTGACCATCAGGCCTGGTGGATGACTCCGTCTCACTCCAAGACCTAAGTTTGCAGGATACCATGGTGTTTCTTAGTTGCAAGTGAGGTGTGGGAATAGGGAGGTGAGGCAGATGTTCCCTTCTAAGAGGATCTGGGGAGGGGATGTGGAATTCTAAATTCCTTTCCTGCCCGTCCTTGTCTAGGCATGTGCTAGTAGCTTCTCTAAGAACCGCCTCACAGTTGTGACTAAGTGATACCGCATGTTCAGCCCTAAGGATTGCTTTTGTCCTTAGTTCCGAGAAGTTCAGCAGCATCCACCCTCACACACCACGATGTAAGCCAGTCAGATCTGTTCTCTCTAATCCTTTCTGTTGGTTTGTTCCCTGGCCTCGGGTAGTTTCCTCGCACCTCGCACACATGCACTGAAAGATGCCCTCCACTCACACAGGGCTGAGAATAGTGCCTGTTCCCACCAGCCAAGCTGGAAAACCTCATGATTGACAGAGCAATGGGTAGAACACACAGAAGAGAGTACTCAGAAAGAAGTGCTCTGGTCTCATCTAGCAAATCTGAACAGCAAGGCCCTGAAATGATAAAAACAAATAACATTCTATTGTGAGGCTTTGACACATGTTTAAGTAAAGTTCTGACAACAACAGAATAAAGACTTGGGGGGGGGAAATATTAGGATACCTTCAAAAGTTTTCTATACTGTATGCTACGTGGTATGCTGTCATTTAAAGGTAGATGGTGTTACATTACAGATGTATACTATAAACCTTAAAGCAACCACTAAACAACAAAATGAAGAGTTACAGCTAATAAGCCAATGAAGGAGACAAAATAGCATTATAAAAATATTCTACCATCAAAAGAAGACAGAAAAAGGGAACAAAGAACAAGTAAGACAAATAGGAAAGTAATAAGATCTAAACCTAATCCTATAAAAAGTCACTTTGAATGTAAATGGTCTGAATACCCCATGTAAAAATTAGAGACTGTTGGATTGGATAAAAAAGTAAGACCTAACTATCTGTTGCCTACAAGAAAGCACTTTATTTTTTTTTTAAGATTTTACTTATTTATTTGACAGAGAGAGAGAGAGAGAGAGAGAGAGGGAACACAAGCAGGGGGAGTGGGAGAGGGAGAAGCAGGCTCTCCGCTGAGCAGGGAGCCCGATGTGGGACCGATCCCAGGACCCCTTGCCATAGGCCCTGTGCTGGGCACGCTGGAAGGAAGATGAGCATGCTCATCCTAGCGTGCGTCCAAGTCGGCCAGACTTAGGGATCAAGTATTGGGGTCTGCCTCTTCTGGGTTGTGTGACCTTTCAAACTCCCTTGCCACCTCTGAGCCTTTGTTTCTTCATCTGCAGAATGGGGATGGTAGTAATCCCCTCCTCAGAAAGGTTTTGCAAGGATTATAAGATATGTGGGTGAGGGCTCTGCACAGTGGAAATGCTGAACACATCAGCCATCATTATTCATGATATGCAGGAAATAGAGAAGGTGGCATTTGCTTAAGAAGAAGGATTTATTATAAAGCAAGCCCCATGAGGCCTCCTTTTGGCAGTGTGGTGAAGGCACAGACCCCATTCCTAAAAGTATAAGAGTGGGCAACTCTTAAAACCTCTATTTCCTGGGGTCTAAATGTAACACACCTAGAGCATATAAAAATTTGTGTTTGTGGCATCTTAATTTTCTGTAACTTCCTCGGGAGCCCCTATCATCCTGGCTATCAGAAAGGAAAAGCTTACTTACGTTTGCCAATTAAAGCAATCCCAGACTCTTCCAGGTTCTGTCAGTGTGTTTAGCGGCACCATCTGGGCTCAAATCTTGGCTTTATCCAATCATGACTATCATTTGAGCACTTTGTGCCTCAGTTTCCTAATCTGTAAAACAGGAATAAAACTATGGTTGCACGTATGAGGTAGAGTGAGCATTGTGTATGGTGCAATCATTCTCTTTTAGGTTAACTCAGTTTTTTCCCCCCAAACAAACAAACAAACAAACAAACCCAAAACAAAAACCAAAAACGCTCAAGCTTTCAATGCTCCCCTCCCTCCTTCCTACTTCAGGTGGTCCTGGGTGCAGAGGAGGCTGAAGTTTCTTTCCCGGCAGGATGGTGGGTCTTTGTTCTGAGTCCTGTCTCAGGGTCTGGTGTGTGCCATGGGGAGGTTGGTCTGGCCTGGTCCCTGAACACTTTGTACTGGGTCTGCTGAGGTGTGGCTGGCCCTGTCTTCTAAATCCCATTGCTCCTTCTACTTGTTCTCCTGTTTAGGAGACCCATATTTTGGAGACTCTTTGAAGTGACCACAGACCTAGAAAATTCTGCCAGACCCCCAACCCCTCCCTGTCATCCTCCCAGGAGAACTTCTAAATCACCTGCACACACATCTGCCTGGATTCCTTTCTCAGCTATTTCTTTTCTTCTCAAGAGCTACTTAAAATGAATTTTATTTATTTTAATAGGTAAGGTATTGAATTGGTTAGCTATTGCTGTGTAACAAACACCCCCTCCAATGTAATGGCTTAAAACAATCACCATTTATTTAACTGGGGATTCTGTGGGTTGACAATTCTGCCTGGGCTCAGCTCCATGGTTCTTCTCATCTCAGTTGGTTTTGGCTGGGATTGCTCCTGCATTTGAGATCAGCAGCAGGCTGGCTAGGGGAATCTGCTGCTGGGGTCAGCTGACTGTCGCCTGGACCACCTCTGCCCTCCTCCACGTGGTCTCTCGTTCTCCAGGAGGCTGGTCTGGCTTGTTCACATGAGAGGGGCAGTGTGGAGAGAGAGCAGAAGTTGCAAGGTCACAGAAATGTCACTTCTGCTTCAGTCTTTTGGTCGAAGCAATTCACAGACCAGACCACACCAGACTGAAGGGATGGAAAACAGACTGCACCTCTTGATCGGAGGAATATTGCCAAGGGTGTGGAGGTAGGGAGGCGGGAAAGAATTATGGACATTCTGGTAATTTATCTCCCACGGGCATCCACGGGGAGCAGAATTCACAGGATTCAAAATCTCCTCTATAGGGCTATACCACCTTCCTTAGGGTTGACCATAGTTACCACTTTTGGAGATACTCAATTCCTGCTCTCTTGTTGACCCATTTCTCAGAAGCCAGGTTGGACATGGCCCCTGTGGCCCCCTGGACACCCTAGGAGGCCAAGCCATGGTCCTTTCTGCTCGAAGAATCTCTAAACATACCTGGGATATCTATACTCCATTCCCACCCTAGCCCAGAGTTTTGATCCCAGGGCATGGGGGTGCGAGGCCCTGGGATCTCAACTCCTGCCCTTCTCCCTCTTTTTCGTACCACCCTTCACTAGAGTCATAAGGGGAGGCATTCCCCTTCTTTTCTTCCGCAGGGACTTTCCTAACCTCAGCCCTCTCCTGAACACATGATCTTCTTTGTTCCAGCTGGATTCCCTCCAGCCCCCTGCCCAAAGCAGCAAATCGTAGGCTCCAGCTTTGCTGAGGGGCAGCTGAACCAGAACTAGAACTAGACTACTGGGAGAGGAAAAAATGCACAAGAGAGTGCTTCAAAAATATTAGCCCTGTCCCCACTTATCTGTAACATGGACTCATGCACAGCTGGGGCACTGGTTCCCAGTAAGGGCTCAGTAAGGGTCAGTGTGCTGGGTAGTCGCAGGCAGTGACTGTAACCAGCTGGAGGAGTTAGCCCAACATAAAGATTTTATTTATCTGACAGCGAGAGGGGGGGAGAGAGAGAGAGAGAGAGAATGAGCAGGGGGAGGAGCAAGGGGAGAGGGAGAAGCAGGCTCTCCTCTGAGCAGGGAGCCTGATGCGGGGCTCGATCCCAGGATCCAGGATCATGACCTGAGCTGAAGGCAGATGCTTAACCGACTGAGCCACCCAGGCGTCAGCCCAACATATTTTCAACAAGGGCTTCTGAGGTATGAGTACAACATGTCTACACTTAACATTGCCTTTTATTTTTCTCCCTACCAAAAAAAAAAAAGAAAGAAAGAAAGAAACTTAAACTTTTTAAAACAGCTTCTTCATTGTTTACTGCAAAATGGAAAACACAGGAAGCAAGTCTAGGGAAAACATTCAATCTCATCAGCAACCAAATAAACACCAATTAAAAAAATAGCAATACTGGTGTTTTTTCAGTCAGGCTTTATCTCCATTCCTTTCTCTCTTCTCCTCTTTATCGGAGGGCTGAAAGTCTGGGAACCACATTTTCCAGAGCTCCTTGCCAGTGTTGCTCTGGATTAGGTTCTGCCAAGGAGAGGTGCTTGCATTAGATTTGGAAGGTGGACGAGGGAAGGCATGGTTTCTCCTCTGGAAATGGAGAGAGGCAGATGCGGGGGCATCGGCAGGTGGTGAATGTGAGGGTTGCAGTGGTCCCCAGGCTTGCCTCCGTAAGCCACCTGTAGACCACAGGAAGCTGTCATTACTGGTGGCGATCCTGTGGGTCTTGCAGATTCCTGATTCTCCAGGAGCTCGCAGTGACCTAAGGCAGTGAGGATTTCCAGTGGTCTGTAAGCACCAAATCCCACAATTCCCCGGGGAACAAAGCAGGGATGCATGGCTTTTTATAGCCTAACCTTGGAAGTCAACTAGCATCATTTTTGCCATTCTCTTCATTTAGGAGGATTTGACAAGTCATTAATCCTGAAGCCTCTGAGGTCTTTGATCCTGACTTTCTGCTACTTGCAACGGGTCCTTTCCTATGGCTTGGTTGGCCTTTCTCGTTTTGTTTCCCGGTTCTTTGTCAAATCCCATGATGCGCTTATTGGTGTCGTTTGAAGGTTTTATTGAGGTAGGACACACATAGTACTGTATGCAAGTGCACAAGTATTACCCGGGGTTCACTGAGTTTTTAGACTTTTTATATCTGTATACACCTGTGTAATCACCACCATGAGCCATAGAAGGGCCCTTCTTGTTCCTTCCCATTCAATCTCTGTGTAAGGCCCCAACAGTTGTGAAGGGGAAGCAAACTGTGTCCTGCCTCTTCTTACAAGGGCACTAATCCCATTCCTGAGGACTCCCCCCCCCCATGACCTAGTCACCTCCCAAAGGCCCCACCTCCTAACACCATCACACTGGGGGGTAGGCTTCAACATAAGAATTTGAGGGGGACACAAACATTCTGTCCATGGCCAGTGTAGCGGGGGTGTCAGCCACCCAAGCAGACAGCAGGTGTGTGTTTCCAGGATGTTGGGGAAGGTCATCGAAAAGATGGGGCTGCCCATTGACCCTGGGCACTGGGAAGCTCCACACCTCCTCCCGTCCTTGGAATATGGGCCCCACTTGCCCTTCCGCTCCCAGAGGCTGCTCCAAGGACATGGCCTGTGGTGTTAACATTTGTATGGCATATGTGACTGAACCCAGTTAAGGCCACTATAGAAACGTTTAAGATTGGCAGTGGGGGGCGGGGATCCATTCGTCTTGCTGCCACCTAAGACAAGCCTTGTATGTAAGTTCCTTTTGCTTAGCGCTGGGCGTGGAGCCTGCTTAAGATTCACACCCTCTGCCCCCCCTTCCCTCCACCTTTTGTGCTCTCTCTAAATAAATAAACAAATAAATAAATACACAAGTAAAACTGCTGTCTATCAGACTGGAGTGGCCTGCCTGTTTCTTTGGTCTCTCCCAGCCCTTAGCCCTCAGTGCGTTTGCCCGCCAGTTTCAGATTACGCACAGGAAGTTCCCCCAGAGGGTTGTGAACTGACAGTTGTTCCTTTTTTTCTTTTTTTTTTTTGGTAATGCAAGTGCCTGACTTAAGCTTTGATTGCCAAGACATCCATTTCAAGGAGGCACCCACTTCTCAAATAAACACCAGGCCAGCCCCCAGGCTGGATAAAGAGCCAGGCCGCCTCCACCCACAGGCTCCTTTGTTTTAGAGATCTTGGTTAATTTCTGTAACTGACCATTTGGTTCTCTTGCTTTTTCTCTTCCCGCGCTTTAAATTCCTGCTATCCTGTTTTTAAAAATCAGCAATCGTGAGCCCACCAATCCCTAGCCCCCTACCTCTGACTCCAGTAAAAACAGAACCCCATGCCCATGCACATTTGCTCTCTTCCTGTGACCCTGTGACCTTGCTGTGCGGCTCCGGGTTTCCTGTGTAATTTCCAGGTCTCCTAAGTAATAAACCTTTATTTCTTTTGCAAAGTTTCCTGATGGTTGTTGCTGAAGGGCATCTTGCAATCATAAGAACCACAAGGGCCAGTCCAGCCACAACAGCGGTTATTAATAGGCCAAGACTGGCATTCAATGCTCTGGCCCCATAGGTTAATACTGCTTTACAAGAGGTGCTGAAGACGGCCCTCATCCACGATGGCCTAGCACGTGGAATTCGCGAAGCTGCTAAAGCCTTAGACAAGCGCCAAGCCCATCAAATGCTTGCATCCAACTGTGATGAGCCTATGTATGTCAAGTTGGTGCTGAACACCAAATCAACCTAATGAAGGTTGATGACAATAAGAAACTAGGGGAATGGGTAGGCCTCTGTAAAACTGACAGAGAGGCAAAACCCCCTAAAGTGGTTGGTTGCAGTTGTGTGGTGGTTAAGGACTACGGCAAAGAGTCTCAGGCGAAGGATGTCATCGAGGAATACTTCAAATGCAAGAAATGAACAAATAAACTTGGTTCTTGTTCCACACACAACCCCCCCCCCCGCCAAAAACCCATCAGATTTACCATAGATTGGTTTTGCTCATTCTTGAATTTCATATAGAGTCATACAGTGACTGGTGGTGTCTGGCTTCTTTCATTCATCTCAAAGCTTTGTATGTGTATGTGTGTTCTTTTGTCTTTATTGTGGTAAAAAAACCAACCCATAATATTAAATTACTTTCTTAACCATTTTTTTAGAATTTTTTTAAGATTTTATTTATTTATTTGAGAGAGAGAGAGAATG